TATGAAATTTCCTTCATAATCGTAAAGATGTTAACCAGCTAATCACTTTCACCTTCAATTTTGGTGAAAATTGGGTTCCTGGCTTACCAGGTTACCAATTCCTTTCCTTGTTCTTCACAAGACCAGTCTGCACTTCCTCTGACCACTCCAACATACTTCAACATATCCCTTGTTCTTTGGGAATCTTGCCCAGATTATCTATTTTAGACCTGGGGACAAATATGCTCAATCCCTGCCTCCTGGAGTTTGTTTCCTTCTGATTCTATCACTTCTACGCCTTCATTTTATTAATAATATCACAGTTCTTTCCAAATCTCAAAGAATTAGGGTTAGCGTTAGGGTTATGTTAGATTTGTGACCAAATCTCTCAAGAATTGAGATTTGGAAATCCAAATGAGGTGAGAAATTTAAACAGAATCAGAACATGGCACCTAAAGGACCAAACTCCATCAATTCCTTCTTTGAGAATTTCGGATTACGATTAGTAGAGTGAATGCAATTATTGTTTCTAAACCAGATTGGCAGAAGCACTTTGCCTTTCCTTGCCATTACCCTCCTCCAAACACTGCATGGGGTGCACCAGTAGCAAATGCACCTATCATTGTGTCTCTATTTTTGTCCTGACAGTGTCAGGATGCTCAGTTAAAATGGTAGTTAAACACTAAAAAAGAATTCTGTTGATACAATAGACTTTCTTGATCCTTGAAGTCTTTATTAACTTTGTGTTTTTCTTCATTTTCCCCTTTTTGAATCAACACATCCTGCTTATTTGTCTTCCTCCTCAGATCTGCCTTTTTCTGAGGGTATCTATGTTACCACTCCTAGCTGGTCTCCCTGCCTCCTTTTTCCGCCCCCTATCTAACTCTTCCTGTATCTGCTATCAGATGAATGTCCCAGCACCTCTTCCAGTCTTCTTATTATGTCCCCACACAGATTTCTGCTCTTGCCAGCCAAATATGCTTGCTATCAGCTAAATAACACTTATTCTTCCTTCAATCTTCACATGTGCTATTCTCTATACTTGGGAAATTCCCGTTCCTCACCAGTGTTTCCTCTATTCCAAGCTTATCCCTTGCCCAAGTCAGCCCACTTCATTTATCTGTTCTGTGTGTACAATATTAATTTTCCTACACTGGAATGTGTTTTACAAATACCCCTTTCTTCATGCATATGATGTGTAAACTATTTGAGAACAGGGCCTTCAATTTTTAATAATATTTCTATTATACTTTATGCACTGGCCAGTACACAGTGGGCACTCAATAAATACTCATGATTGACTTTAGTAACATCTGGAGAAAATGCGGTTGAGCCAACATCAGTGAGCACTTGGGAAGACAAACTTGGATGGGTGTAGGTGATTTTACAAGTTCCGATATCACAGTAATTAAATGGAGTGCTGAATAACTGCCTTCAATTTCCTGTGGCTGATTTCAGTTCTGAGCAAAGGCAAGTCTGATGTCAGAGTTCAAGGTGAATGATTATTGTTTATCAAACTGCCCCATACATTATCAGAGAGCCTCAATGTTCAACACTGTGACCTCCTATCAGACATCTTAGAACAAAAATGCATGAGTAATAGACAAATTGGAGCCAGATAATTTTCAACATTAAATTCTGTCCCAGAAAAGAGCAACAACAATTGCAAGTGTTCAAACTTAACTGGTCACCATGGAACTATTTTCTGTCTTGAGTCTGGTTTTATCAGTTCAGTATCTCACCTTGGGAAATGAATACATGAAATGTAAAGATTTATATGTGCAATTTTCAGGATATTTCCCTTGGTCGTTACTTACTTTTCGAGAAAACACTTGGTAAAAATCAACCAATTTATTTAAAAACCAAATTCCAAAAGGCAGTAAATGCTTTAAATCAGTGGTTTCATATGCTTGTAAGCCCTTCAAACACAAGTGGGTCAAGGAGTCTCCTTCCTTGTCTTGCCAGATTTTCTTCTTTCTCACACTTAGCATTTTCCAACCAGTTGCAGAAGTTGTCCTTCAGATACTACTCATTTCCATGTCCTCTTAAACTCCTCTATAAACTTCTCTTTCATAACTGAACCATGTTTCACCCTCTGATTGCACCGTTTTCCTCCTTTTAAGCCCCAGAATGTTAACCATCAATCCTCAAACAAAATAACCTCTTGCATGATGCTGCCTCAAGTCCAAGCCTTACCAGAAGCCTACAAGTCTCTTCGTACCCATATTTTTGAATGAGTGAGTGAAATCAAACCAGAGTTGGGTATAATTCAATTAAGGCTTAGAGGTGGGGAGGACAAACATCTTCTTTTCAGGAACCACCCAACTATCTTTCAAAGTCTCCACAGTTGGATTGAGGCCTGTAGATTACCAAATACATCAAATTTCATATTTTGCCAAATTAAACCCCTGTACAGGTTGTCCATCTGCCTAAGCATTGTTTGTTCTCTATGTAGTTTTAATTTCCTGTTTACCTGTTGCTTTTGTGTATTTCTCATTTGTCTCATCATTTCTGATAGTTTCAACATGTTTCACCTTAATATAACCTCAGTTTTTAAAAGTATGTATGCTTACATACAATAACATAATGATAAATTTGTTATGAACATATGAGAACTAGTTGTATCATTGTTCTTCTAGATTTCCAAAATCCATTTCAGTGGAAAATGGAGAAAAACTTTTTCCCACTGTGAATGCAACTGGGAAAATACATCACGTTCTAGACTAAATACTTACGGGCTGTATCTTTTAAAAATCTCAGATGAAAATTAAATTTTGAATTGCCATCTAGAAATAAATTTTTATAGATAGTGTACACATTGGTTCCTGAAAATGGTAGAAAAGGTTTCTTGTCAAGTTCCCCAGCACAAGTGTGAATGCTCTGTTTTTGAGTACCTACTAGTAGTGAAAGGACACATTGTGGCCAGCCAACTCAAATTGCTACCCACGTTTAATCATTGTAAATAAAGGAAGCAGAGAGACCCATGTTATATTTTCAGAACTGGCATGCTCAATACAGAACTATTAGTTTAAAAATACCACTGAACATTCTATTTGAATTAATCTAGATTTCTGTGAAAAATAAAATAATGAAAAGTACAATTGGTCACTTAAACATATGCTACTCACTTCATGCAGATTATTAACTTAGTAATTCCACATGGCATTAAAGAACAACCAGAGTAAATACAACTTTATAACACTTGGAAAACAGTTCAGAATTGATAAATTTCCATTTTGAAATACTTATAGTTTTTACAGAACAAAATCACCTTTCTCAGTGGAAAAAATACATCTATGAAACACCTACATGTGCTGAACAGGACTTTTCAGAGGAAAAACTAATTGTCCCACTGTGAAATGAACATGTATCACTGCTAAGCTTTCATGTACTGTTGGTGCATAATGCATCTTCTGAACGGCTGGATAAAGAAAAGCAACAGAGAAACAAGTGCTTTGAACAAAACTCATGGATCACAAAGAATCAATAATGGAAAGATGTTTAAGGAAATAACCAAAGCATATTATCTAATGTTCAATTATACATTTGGGCTTCACAATTACAGGAGCTGGGCAAATTCTTAATTTTTACACACTGTGTACATTTGTCCTTGTTTATATTTGTCCAAGGACATGATTTAAGAATCATTTGCAAAATGCCAGAATCAACCTTGATTAACAATTGACACCCACAGGCATCTAGGTGGAGAGCACATCTAATTTGATCAATTGGGAAGAACGTAAAGTAGTAATCCACAATAAATATTAGGATAGGAGCACATTCCTTACAGCAAATAGGCAATATCTTAGATTATTCACAGGGATTTTCTGGTATGGTACAGTCACAGTCACTACGTGAGGGTGGAGAAGTTCAGTCTATCAAATACACTCTTTGAAGCACTGGGAATAGAGATACTTCTGCAGGATCCTTGCACACACGGCCAAGCAGACACTGTGTATGTACAGAATAGTCTGTTTCACAACTACATTGCAGATGAGAATCTCTGCAATTGTCGCTGTACCACTAGCAAACTGAAAGCATTCAGCACTTCATCTGTCAATACTGTTGTATTACTGCTTTTCAATTGCTGACACTTGCAGTCAATATGTATTTAAATTCGAACTCCAACGATGCTGATGAAAAGCAGGAAGACGTCTGCATCTTCTTATAACACTCTCAGCAGGTCAAGAGATCATTTGGTAAAAAATCCAAATGTGAATTTGTTAGCAAACAATAAAATGTACACTTTAAAATGTGTTTTCAAAGTTGTAAAATTTTTGAAATAAGTTAGAAAGCCACAAGGGTTGTTCAAAATCATCCTAAAAGAATTCACAGCCTGTCTGTTCATTTGCTTAAGAAATGCACATTGTTTACCTACCTACCAGTTTGCCTACAGAAGATGTGCTTGCCTAATAAATCTAAAAGCTGTTATTATGAGCTGTTGATTTAGTCTACAGAAGTTGTCCATTATGTTGAGGAAGTTCTAAACGTTTCAATCACATTTTTTTTCAACTGATCTTCCTTTCCAATCTTCCAACTGGAGTGCTTTAATATTTCTTTCTTGATAAATTCCTGATTTTTCAGGACTCTATGGAAATTCTCTTTTCCTCTTAAACTCAGTTTAGAATTTCCAAATTCAATTAAAGTCTTTAAGCCTTCCTTATTTCAAATGCCATGGAAATACTGAAATATTCATAAATATGGAGAAGGTAGCTCACCTAAGCTTGCAGTCCACGTGGTATCATAAAACCTACTCTAAAACAACAGGATTTTAAAATTTTTGTTTTCAGGAAGAAATCAAAACTGTACATTGGAACAAGGTGCCATACTACAAAAGCAGGTCCTTCTTTCCCCCCACTATTCTGGAAATGTAAACAAAAATATTTAAGTACAAAAGCGATTTCTGTGCCTTTTTCTTCAAACATTTTGTCAGCACCTCACTGTTATTAGGTGTACTTTATGCTTGGTATAGCAGAAATTCTGTATGCTCGTATAGCTGTTCAGGGAATTCAGATTTTTCACTACCAAATATCGCTGGTGAAGCTAAGCTCTTTGGATGATAAAGGTAGCAGAGAACTGTTCCTATGAAATTCCGGGGTATCTTTCAGGGCATTATTAAGGGGCAGCTGTCCATTGAGTAGCGTCAGAGGCAGGTTACAGTAAGTGTGGTGGTTGCCTAAGGAAGGTACTGGCAAGGTGGTAGTTGGCATGTCGTGTTTATACCCTCTGCAACAGTGCCTCATTTCCATTGAATCTGAGTGATGGAAATCAGGGAGATCAGCTTGAGATGACGCCAGAGTGGCCGAGGTACTGGTCATGGCAATAGAGGGTATAGGCTGGAGTTCTCCAAAAAGTCCTTGTTCTGCAGAGTCCAGAACATGGCACCGAGACAGCATTTCTTTCTTCTTGATGGGCATCTCATATACTAAGTGCTTCCAAAATTTAGAATTTAATTTGCTGCTTTTGGGTCCCTTCCACTTGATCAGGGACAGAAGTTTGATGCTGCGCTTTAACGATTCCACTTCCTGGCAATTCACCTTCCCTTTTAATTCTGTACACTCGATCAAAATCACCTTGATTTCTCCACTGACTAGCATGTTATGGAGTCTGCTTTCCAGTTCGAAAATACTCCATCCCCGTCTGAGAATATAGTTGGGAGTTAGCACGATAATAAGTCTTCTGCTTTGCTCAACACATCTTGTGAGATCTTCAATGTATGCTACAAATCACAGAAAGAGAGAAAGAGTAAAACAAAGACATTGCCAGTCTTTAAAGAACCAGGTTTGCACTCTAGTATAGCAAAGATCCAGTCTTTCACTAAAGTCCATTACACTTGCTTTTCTTCTATTGCACATTCAAAAAGCCTGTTTCCTTAAAGACAGAAATATTAAAAAAACACTGCTTATGATCCTTATTTTCTCTGCCCTCGTCATTACTTACAGCGTTCTGTTGGTTAACACAAACTCTGGTTTCTTCATAGCTTAGGTGGCATTTTAGTGACTTTTGTTTATTTAATCATTTAATTGAAGGCAGGCTTCCAGGCTAGTACTCTAAGTGAACAAGCAATCAATGGGTCAATGAAAAGAGAAATGGAGCCTTTTAATAAATTTCAGGGTTCCTGCATTTATGGGTTGGGTTTGGTTTTCCTCGCTAGTTTTCTTTTTTATTAATATTATTTATTTCTCAATGACAAATACCAATTGTATATATGACCCCTAGTCTTCAACTACTAGACGAGTAGAGGGGCCCTGAATATTAACTACTTAAGAGATAATTGTGATATATAGATGGTGGAAAATTCTCTTCTAGAATCATAGCTTGTTTCTCAAAATACCTTCTGTCATTTGCAAATTTAGATTCTCCATTGTGCCCTTCAAAGCCGGAGATAGGGAAGTGGCATGTGCCCATGAGTTTAATTTGAACCAGCTGCTTTTTATTCCCAGGAAGAGTGAAGGGTAGAATTGGAGGTGGGGGATGGTGTGGAATGAACGGGTGAAGGAGGAGGAGTCTACGAAGTGAAAAGTAAATCTTTGCCCTCCTTTGTGAGGCAATTCTGAAAGTGAGGCGAATATGTTATGGCTTTTGCATGGCAGAAAGACACTCAACTAGCTCTCGATTTGTTTACCCCATGGAATAATCCCTTTGCAATCATGCTTCCCAAAGTCTTATCTGCCAAAAAGGGAAACGCACACATGTGTTAACAAATGGAGACTTGGACACAGGTGCTGCACCAGAGAGCTGTCTTTACTAAGCAGAGCACAAGGCCTTGTCTCATGTACAGTGCCCTCTAGCAGAAGCAGTGCTTACAGAAGCGTAGCAACATTTGTCACCGCAAATCTGCCCAAGGTTACAGACTGCTTTCAAGGAGTCACATCGAACACATAGCGTGGGGCTACCAAACAGCCCGGTACAAGCCATTTGAAAAGAGAAACTTATTTTACAGAAGGCATATTTTACAGATGATCTCTCTTTTCCAGAGTTTATTTTCACCACTTGGCAGCAAGAAAACTTCCACAAGTGAAAATGAGCAAACTTTCTATACACCCTACAGGTAAACAAAAGACTTTTTAAGAGATACACATAGAATCACCCATTTAACAATTTGTTGTTACTGCTGTTTAGGTTTTGACTTAATACATTTCAGGACTTTCTCATGCAGTAGTTACAATGACTGTATCTGAGGGAGAAGGCAATTTCTAAGTAGGGAGGGAACCTCTTAAGAGTTTTTTTATTCTTAAGAGTGTTTTATTTCAGAGATTACTTATTCAAGGGGGAAAATCAGCAGTGAAATCTTCAAAAACAAAACAAAACAAAAAGCACCACACAAGTAGCAATGGGGAAGTTATCACTCTGTAATTATCACTTAGAGAACTGGTGAAACAGAATGGAAGGAAAGGTAGAAAGTTTCAATAGAGTGGAAAAATACTATCCCAATGTATCAACAGCTCTGACTCTTCATTTTCTTCCTTTCTTTCTGCTCCCAAAAAGAAAGAAGTTATGTGGGAAGCTTCATCATTAGAAGTTGGATCTGTAAGATACAGTAAAATAAACTATCATGCATTTTTCCCAGGATTCTTTTCACCTTTCCTCCCAAACAAAACAAAACAGAACAAAACCCAAACCCAGAACCATGGTATAAGTGCAGGAGCCTATGAAAATCAGTGCAGGAGTCTATTAAAATAACAGTTTTACCAGGTGAATTATGAGTTAATTGTTAATTTTTTTCAAGTTAATTTATTTAATTTAATTTTTCAAACAAATTGCAACAATTTGGATGGAACTGGAGACCATTATCCTAAGTGAAATGTCTAAAGAATGGAAAAACAAACACCATATGTACTGGCTATTAAATTGGAACTAACTGATAAGCACACATGTGCAGAGAGGGAAGTAAATTTGAAAGGAAATCAAGCAGGAGGGAGGGGGGAGGAGGGGATGGGCTCTGACTTGAGCATTACAAAAGCCATCTATGTAACCAAAAACATTTGTACCCCCGTAATACTTGGAAATAAAAATAAATAGATAAATAAATACTTTGTTAATTTTATAGAAGGATTCTTCACAGAATAATTTACCAAGGGGTTACTGTGAGTAATATTTGTCCCTCTCTAATGGTAGCTTGTAATATAACTTTTAAAACTGATCTGTACAAACCCTTGTCAGGAGGACTCTGTCACATAAGGTGTACCTCTAGAAACAACACTATTTCTGTGTGCTAAGATGTAGTCTACATGTACTTTTAAACTAGACTTTTAAAAAATCAAGTTTGATCTATACATGTCTCCACTGAAAAGAAAATTACAATCCGGGTGTCCACAGTCATAGGACAAACTACACACATATGTGCTATTTCATGTGATTGAGATCTCATGGGCTTTGGGGCTTTGCTAGCCTCTTTCTGGGATGGGGGAGGGACCAGGGTAACATTTTTTCCCCATTAGCGTGGTTCTCCTCCTTCACCCGTATATTCTATTTTGCCATTTGCCAGCTAAGCAGAATGCAACATTTAGGGTTCTTGGGGCTTCTCAGCGACTCATTAGACAGAATTTACATTTGCCCCCAGAAGGAAGGCCTGTCAGGACAGATCCCACTCCACTCAGCTGCACAGGGTGTGGGTGTTGAAGGGAACCTTGGAGAGAGGGAGTGGTCCCTGTCTCCTGCATACTACACTGGCTGTGCTTATCCTGGCAAAGCCTAGTGGAGAGTTGAGGCAACCATCCAGATAATTCCGGCTGAAAACCTGCTGTGGAAGAAAAAAGGTCTGAATTATCCTGGTTTGCCCTATGTATACATTAATCATATGCACTGGAGTCAGTCAGTCAGTACATCAAAATTTTCCCTGGGTAGACACAGCCCAAGTGTCCCAAAGAAAACATGAGCCATTTGCTTGGGCCCTGAATCTCGTGTTCCATTTCACTTGGTGAAAAACCAAGTGGAAGTTTTCAGATGTGAAGCCCACATTTCACTTCTTGGGATGGCGATCAGTGGCTGGGCAGCAACCTCAATGTTTGAAAGCAGCTGGGGAGGTGCCTCTAAGAGCTGCCTGGCTCTAAGGAAAAGAAGGAGAGACTGTGCCCTAGCTTCCATATTCTGGCTCGCTCTCTGTTTTTCTCTCTTCTTCTCCCTCTTTTCCCCCCTCTCCCTTTCTCTTTATCCCTTTTTTTTGCTTTTTCTGCCCTTTCCTTCCTCTTTTCCTTCTACCTGCTTCTTTGCTTGCTTTCTCTTTCTTTATGTCTGTCCCTCTCTTCCTCTCCTTCCTTCTCTCTCTTATCTCCCTCTGCCGTCCTTCTTCCCTCCTTTCTTAAGTCTTTTCTCTTTGTCTTTGGGGAAGAAACAAAAACCTAGCCATCATGGAAAATATAAGTAAATGAGGAAGAGACCAAATTGACAGAGTTCATATTTTTTTACTTGCTAATCTTTAGCCAGGGAATTGTTACTGGCGTCTACGAAGCAAGTGCCCCAAATAATCCCCCCTCAGCCTGGGGTTGCACATCTGCCTCCAATGACTTTGATTTGGAGGCTGATCCATTAGGCACATGTCCAGTTTTGTATGGCCTGTGTGAGCTACAAATGATTTTTTACATTTTTAAAGAGTTGTAAAAGAAGAAGATGATGATGATTCAACTGAGACCATATATGATCCACAAAGCCTAAAATATTGACTATCTGGAGCTTTACAGAGAAGGTTTGCCACCCCTGAATTATAGACCAAGCAGGGTGGTTAGGTTTGGAAAAGTTCCAAATAAACTAAGCAGAAACAGGTATCAAGTTAAGACATTGCTAGTTCATAGTTAGTGTAGTCTCTGACAGGCAGTGGGGTTTGCCCTGGTAGGGCTGTGGTTTTGTGGGAGACATTTTAGAAACCTTCAGAAAATGTTTTAAAAAGCTTGTTACCACGAAGAGATAATAAAGAAATGTTTTTAAAAAAAAAAATCCCTAAATCCACAGCACATATGAATACTCACTAAATCTTGCCCTGACTTGTTCAGGAAAATTTAGCAATTGAGTAGCAGGAATCCCATAAAAGACTCTTTTTTTGCACATAAAAATATAAGATATCCCTTAAATAAAAGGTCACTAAGTCATTTCTTTGCAAATTTTGGTTTGATGTTACTTCTGATGACAGAAAAGACCAAAGGGGATTGTGTCTGATAGGCTTCTGTTTCTCTAGACAATTCTGTGAAACCACAGCAGATTATCAGACACGAAACAAAGCCAAGTACATTTAAACTATTTGTGATCTTCACAATCAGATGAGGAAAAAAATCTCCGTGAACATAGTTTTGATTGGGGTGTTTAATTTGGTATAAATTCATTTTTCACATTATAAGTATAAATGCAAGGACACTTTTTCTTTTGTCTATGCAGGGAGTTGACAGAGAAAAAATATTCTGGAATAAAATACATCGTCACTAGACTCTCTTTGGGAGTTGTGTACCTATTAGAGAAATAAAAAAAGATCATGCCAGTAGCATCGGTATTGTAGGAAGCAAGGAAAGTGACTGCCTAAAACTTTATGAAAAACAAAACAAATCCAATTTTAAAATCTTTTCCAGGGACAGTTGCATAAAACAAAATTCTGGTACATTTAGAGGAGAAATAGAATTGGATCTAGAAAATGGACTTGAAAATAAACTATGCCATTTATTAACAAAGCAAAAAGGCAAACTGAAAGAGGAAATAAAGAGACAAAATAGAAGCAGAAAGAACGGCAGCCTC